GCAAAACTAACTGCTGCTTCGTGGCAGCCTATCCAAATCCCTAAGTCTGTATCAGGAGAAAATATAGGCGCAAACACATGCGCTGTGGAAACCCAGGTAAGTGAAAGATGAGAGTAAAGAAAATCAATTGAGTATAATAGCATCGGCTAGAAAATATCTCGACGCGCGTTTCGGCGTTTTAGAGACGCCTTTGTCAAGAGCTACCTGGTAAGTGACACGGGAAGCAGTTATAAAGGGGATATAGACACACCCTTCAATTAAAGCCCTCCAATCAAAAGACCACAGGTTGTGAAAGGATGACAGGTGACCTCCCCTGCATATTGAACCAATCGGAGGAGGTGGGAGTGGTCACCCTATTCACTCAGTATACACTAATGGCAAAAAACAAAACAAAAATTCGAATCTCTAAGGATAAATTTACAAGCCACACATCTCCCACAGCCAAAAGAACCTACAGGGATTTTTCTACCGAGCCACGTACTGTTAGAAGGTTGTTTAGAAGTAAAGTGGCTAGGTACGAGAATATCACGGAGGTTCCTACCTCTTCGGGCTGTAATGGAGACTTGTGGGCCCAAAATCTCCTTAAGGTGGGTATTCTTAAGTAGAATCGGCCAAAACTTTTGCATCAAGCTTTTAACAGTATCCCAACCAGTATCGAATGTACCAATCATTCTAATGGTTTTATCCGAAGTCTTCATCGATGTTGGGAAGTCGGACAAAAGGGCCACCCTGTCAGCTTTCAAAGCTCTATTATATGCCCTCTTCAAACATCTATTAGGATAACCCTTCTCTTTGAACTGCTGTCTCAAGATTTTAGCTTTAATCTGGAAGTCCTCAAGATCCGTGCAATTGTGTCGTAGTCTAAGGTACTGTCCAGTGGGAATACCTTGTTTCAAAGGTCTTGGATGACAGCTATTCCATTTGAGAAGTGAATTGGATGCAGAGGGTTTCCTAAACAGAGTAGTGACAAGGGAACCATTCTTAGAGATAGAAATCGTAAGGTCCAGAAAATTCAAAGAGGACCCTCCAAACTCTGCGGTAAATTTGAGGTTGTCTTCATTTATGTTGAGGAGGGCAACAAACTCTTCAAATTCAATGTTATTACCCTGCCAAACTATGATGACATCATCGATGTATCTGTACCAAAAAATTATTTTGGACAGAAGAGGTGACAGGTAGGTAGATGTCTGGATTTGCTCCTCCCACCACCCTAAATGAAGGTTAGCGTAAGAGGGTGCACAAACAGTGCCCATAGCTGTCCCCCGTGTTTGGTGGTAGTACTTGTTATGGAACAAAAAATAGTTATGAGACAGGATGAATTTCAAGAGTGTGATGGTAAAGGTTTCCACAGCGCATGTGTTTGCACCTATATTTTCTCCTGATACAGACTTAGGGATTTGGATAGGCTGCCACGAAGCAGCAGTTAGTTTTGCCGTTTCTTTTAGGATAGTTAGTTTTTTAGGGTGACTCGGGGGGGGGTTCTATCTTTCCTCTCTTTGTGGGGTATTAGCTCCTTTTCTTTATAGTATAAGCTACTCGATATTAGTTTGGGCGCGCCCCATTAGTTGCTATTAACCCTGCCCTTTCCAGATTCTCTCAGACACTGCTCTAAGACTATCCTTTTTCTATCCAATTACCCAGTTGGGTCCTTTCCTAGAATGGATTTAGACTAACCTGCTTTGTTACCCATTTACTATTTTAGGTGTATTTTTACACCTTTATTAAGTCAAACATACCTTGCAGGATTAGCCTATTCCAGGCTTTTATAAGTTTGGTGGTTAACTTATAATCAATACACTATTTTAGTGTATGGTAATAGTATTTGGACTATATACCATTTTAGCATTTTTTTCTAATAAAGGTTGTTTATCCTCTTCTATGTGACTATTTACATTATGAGGTACTTTGAATGAGGCTAGGCATTCCACCCACTTTTTTGTGAGTGGACTGTCTGCCCCATTTTTCGTCTCTTTTTTAAAATTATTATTTATTTATATAGCGCCAACAAATTCCGCAGCGCTTTACAATGGGTGGACGAACAAACATGTAGTTGTAACCAGACAAATTGGACACATAGGAAAAGAGGGGTTGAGGGCCCTGCTCAAAGAGCTTACATGCTAGAGGGAGTGGGGTAAAGTGACACAAAAGGTAAGGATAGTATAGTAAGGATGACAGTTGCAAGAGAGGAATCAGTCGGGAGCTATTAACAGTTTAATTGATACGCTTTTATGAAGAAGTGGGTTTTTAATGATTTTTTGAAAGAGTGGAGACTGAGTGAGCATCTAAGTGAGTTCCACAGGAACGATGTAGCCCTCGAGAAGTCTTAAAGGCGAGTATGTAATGCAACATACAAAAATGTACTTCTGTGTGGCAAGGTCGGAGGCAACAAAAGAGTGCAAGAAATAGTGGCATTAATACCTAAAGGTGAGTATTCTAGAACTCAGTGTAATGGGAGTTATACTTGCGAGTCATTCAGCATTCAGTTGTTGCGTATCTTTCTCGCTTTTTTGTTTCGGTACAGGCTTCCATTTGGGAGCGATTCGCTGTGGCAAAATGTTGTTCGATGGTCCAGGAGAGTTCATTAGTTTCCATGTTTGCAGAAAGCAAATACCTTCTTCTGGAGATTGGACAAGCATTTTTGGATCTGTTCCTGGAGAGTAGCAACAGGGTTGGGTAGCCCCATCTATTTTGAACTTGGTTTGCTCGAAGGGTCTCAGTTACTGGCTGGTAGGCTCTGCAAAGTAGCTGCAGATAAGTCAGCGATTACTCAAATGGAGGAATATTCAACAGGAAGGTTCTGTTTGGTCTGGCTCTTCTTCAAAATTTGCTCCTTGATGTGGAAGTAGTGGGCCCCCAGGATGACATCTCTGTGTGTAGTGTCTGGGAGAGGTTGCAGTTTGGCTAGATGATGTATGTGGTCTAGTAGAAGCATGTCCACAGGAATATCAGAAATTAATGCTTTAAAAAAGCCATGAGCGAACTCAGTGAGGTCTTGGGGTTTCACAGGTTCACACACACATCTGAGCTTCAAATTGTTCCATCTTGAATTGTCTTCCATGTCTGATATTTTGTATTTGAGAGTTTGTACCTGCGCTTGGAGCTGTACAACATTCAACATGGAGTTGTGGGCCTCAGCAAACTCCCCAAATTTGTCTTTAAGATAGGAGGTTCTGTTCAGGTCTTTGCACAGGGTTTATATGCTTTCTTGCCATGATGATATCAGCTTGTCTGATAGGGGATCCAGAGATCATTGTAAAAACAGCTAACTGAGAGGCTCGCCTTCTCCCCTATCTATGGTAGCTTTAAGCACTTGCTCTTATTTTTTGTTGGTTCATGGCATTTCTTAGGGTGTCCATGAGCCAATTTCAAGATAATTGGCAGTGAGGTTGTTTTTTGCTTAATTTTTCATGTATTTTGTTGGTGCCCAGTTTACGCACTTCCAAGCTTACAGAGAAGTGTCCATCTCACACGGCTTATGGCCACGCCCCACAACATATATTGTAATGAGAGACTGGTTGTTCTTCTGCTGCCAAAGTTCCATAATATGAAAATTAACATTAACATTTTTAAAAGAACTAACAGTCACTAACTTTTCACTGTAACCTAACAAAATAGTATGTGAATGGTCAGAGAAGAAGAGGAAATCTTTTATAATTTTTTAAATTATATATTATTACTGGCTCTTTTTAGCCAGCTCAACCCTTGTTTTGTCTTAGTCTTATATATCAATGTTTTAATATGTCACAGAAAGCAGTACATATCCAGGAAACTGTTTTTCTCAAGTGTCCATTATAAGATCTGCCATAACCGAGTTACAAAGATCACGTGCTGCAGGAATTTAAAGGGGCAGAAGAGCCCTAAAACTTCTGGCTAATGGTGTGATTACTACTTGCTTGTTACTAGCTTTTTCAGAAAATGAAACCCACCCTCATAAAAGATTCACCAATATATTTTAACTAAAAATACACAAGTAAAAAATTAAACCATTGTGACAAAAAGGGACTTTGATGCATCACATTGCACAAGAGTCAGAGCCTCCCCCTCCAGCTGGTACCAAAAACAGATTGTATTACAGTCTATCATACTGAGATATCTACCTGACTGATCTAGATATGCTGTTGTCAAGGTGGACTTGCAGATGGGGAAAGCAAAGTTTAGAGTTAATGGTGTAGTTCGTATATCCTGATGTGAAGTGAAAAATAAAGTTCAGTTGCTCCTGCTTGCATGAAGAAGAAGCTGCTTGTCTCTTTCTTTGCTGTAACTATCCAAGGTCTGCTATAAAGCAATTGATGGTGGATAAAGCAACTCCAACCCCATGTAATAGCAGTTGATTAGCAATCAGCTGTGCAAGTTGATTTTAGGCCTTGGGTAACAGAGACGCCAGGGCCGTTTCGTCACAACCATGAATCATCAAATCATGTAAGTACTCAACGTCATTGTCGCTGCCAATGGTCATAACATATTTTAACAGAGAGGACATATTGCCTCCTGTTGCCTTCTTATCTTACTGTATTCTTCCTATTCTACCCCATAAACTCATAATCCCATCAGCATTCCCCTAATCTCACTAATACATTTGCATCCTGTACCAGTGGCATACATATAGCAGTCACAGGGGTCGCAGCTGTGACCTGGGCCCGTCACTCCAGGGGGCCCGGTCGCCCTGTGGACCCCTGCAACCGGGTACCCGCCACCATCTTTTGCAAACCGCCGGGGCCGCATGTTAAGGGGTCCATTGGGACCCATGCTGTCAGGGCCACCCGATGGAGACGGATTGTCAGACAGAGCTGGGAGGAAGTGAATGCACATCACATCTCCCAGCTATCTGAAAGAGCCGCATGGGAGGAAGGAGAAGGGAGTCAGAGTGGGAACTCTGACTCCCATCAGGCTGGGCCCACACTGGACCCCAGGTAAAGTCACCACCCTGCAAAAGGTAGGAAACAGAAGGGTGACAAACATTTTGTATGTGTCTGTGTGTCTTTCTGTATGTATGTGTCTGTATGTGTGAGTGTATCTGTGTGTGTGTCTCTGTATGTATGTGTCTGTATCAAACAGACACATACATACAGAGACACACACATACACATACAGACACATACATACAGACAAACGTATGTATGTATGTGGGGGGGTGTATGTATGTGTGTGTGTATGTATGTGTCTGTCGGGGGGTGTATATGTGTGTGTGTGTCTGTATGTATGTATCTGTTTGTGTGTCTGCGTGTGTGCCTCTATGTATGTGTATGTGTGTGTGCCTTTATGTAGGTCTGTGTATGTATGTATGTGTCGGGGGGAGCCCACGGATCAGTTTTGCGAGGGGCCCCATGTACTGTGTGTACGCCACTGTCCTGTACATTAACCTACTAATCCTTTCAACTCATCTCTTAACTTCCCATCCTGTCCTTGGTTTCACTAATCCCTTACTTATCTGCCACCTAAACTTTCTTATCCTTCTCCTCTTCTATTTTTGCTCTTTCATTTAAAAACTTCAAAAACATCCATCCCATATCTTTTCCTTGTACCCCTTCACCCTTTTATCTACAGATTGTGTAAACCCCTATACCTCACTTTTTGCAGAAACCTTTTACCCTCTGTCCCTTCTTTACATAAAAAAACGGGTACCTCAGGCTGCCATATTGGAAGTCACCAAGCAGGTGCTGAGGCCAGATGAGAGAGCTTGTGAGGTTGTGTGACCCGGTCCCCATGAACAGGTCAGGATGGGCTCTCTGTTACTGCAGTCTGAGGAGCATAAAAAATCCCGACAGACAGTACAGTCCAAGCATAGGCGTGTGCAGCCTATTGCATTAGGGTGTGCACCCTAAAGCACAAACACACGAGCTGTGTGTGTGTGTGTGTGTATGTATCTATATACATATATAGATACACATACACTGCTGTGTGTGCTGTTAGTGTGATGTGTGTGTGAGGGTGCTGTTAGTGTGATGTGAGGGTGTTTGTGTGTGTGTGTGTGTGACTGTGCTGTTTGTGTGTGAGGGTGTTTGTGTGTGTATGTTTGTCCTGTGAGGGTGCTGTTTGTGTGAGTGTTGTGTATTTGTGAGAGTGCTGTTTGTGTGTGTGTGTGTTTGTGAGGGTGCTGTTAGTGTGCTGTGTCTGAGGGTGTTGTGTTTTTTTAAAGGTGCTGTGTGTGTTTGTGAGGGTGCGGTTAGTGTACTGTGTGTGTGTGAGCTGTATGTGTGTAGGTGCTGTATGTGTGTGTGCTGTATGTTTGGAGGGATTTGGCAGATTAGTAAATCCTTGCTGCCATGTGCCATCCCTGGTGGTCCAATGGAGAGTGAACTCTAGCCTGCGGGGCTAGAGTTAACTCTCGCGAGATCTGAGCGTTGCCGCAGCAACGCTCAGATATCGCGAGAGGAACCTGGTGGAGCTTCTGTCTAGAGCTCCCTGGGTCCTCTCCTACCTCCCTCCATGCTGCTGTGGGCCGGTGAGGTAGATCTTTGGTCTCCCCGCTGGCCCATGGAGGCTTAGAGCAGAGCCGGCACTCAGATAGCTCCGGCTCTGCGTGTGTGTGTGTGTGTGTGTATATATATATATATGTATATATATATATATGCGTACACACTCACAGACACATTCAGACACACACATACATACACTCACAGACACACACACACATTCACAGACACACACACACATTCACAGACACACACTCACACAGACACACACTCACACACAGACACACACTCACACACACACATTCACAGACACACACTCACACACACACACACACTCACTCACAGACACACACACATACACACACACAGACACACACTCAGACACAATCACACACAGACACACACACACTCACACACAGACACACACACACACACACTCACACACAGACACACACAGAGACACACACACACACTCACACACAGACACACACACTCTCACACACACACACCCAAGAACAAATTATTATATTTTAATTAAAAAAAAATGTCCACCCAGCCTCCTACCTGGAGTGCTGGCGTGAACTTGTCCCTGGGATCCAGTGGGGCGGGCGCCTCTCTGCAACTCAGCCGCGGCGAGGGAGCTGTCTGCTCTCTGCTCCCTCTCGCCGTGCAGGCTGTCTGCTGTCGCTGGGAGCCGGAATATGACGCGGCTGAGCTGCAGAGAGGGGGGGTTATCCATCACCTCTTGCCCACCCCCTCTCCCATGACAGGGGCAAGACGTGAGACAGGGGGTGCTGAGTGCCTGCAGGAACAGCGTTCCTGCTCAAAAAAAGTGCAGGAACGCTGTTCCTGCAGGACTCAAACCATAGGCGTGCCACGGGGATTAGGGTGTGCACACCCCGTGCGCACGCCTATGAGTCCAAGCATACAAGAGTGATCATGTGTGGGGGACCTGGACAGCATTCTTATTACCAAGATAATTGGCCATAATGCAATAAAATACCGTACTGCATTCTGGACCTGGTAACTGATTGCCAAGCATATAAAAGTGATAATGGTGGTGAGAAGGGGTCTGAACAGCATTCTTATTTCCAAGATAATTGACCATAATACAATAAAGTACCATACTGTATACCAGACCTGGTAATTGATTGTACCATTTATGTTTACAAGGGCTACCCCCCTTCCCCAAAGTTGGAATATAGGATGCAGGCAGTTTTTTTTACCTCAAATTTGGGGGATAAAAACTGTGTCTTACATTCCAAAAAATACAGTATATAGGTCAGCCAAGAAATTACATATTTGGCTAATTTAACATGCCGCTGTCTGATTTTTAGTTTTAAGCAAATTCTGCAGGCATCTCATATTGAATCTTATTTGATAGAATGTATGATTTGGAAGACATACACAGTTATGTGCTGTACATCTCTATAAAGGCTATGGCCTAAAAGGAGGCCAATGTGGAGTTACACAATACCAAAAGTAATATTCACCAATGTTTTAGAACTATGACTTCCATAATGCTTTGCCATTCTAGTGTTGCAACAGTATTATTATTATTATTATTATTATTATTGCCATTTATATAGCGCCAACAGGTTCCGCAGCACTTTATAATATTATGAGAGGGGGGATTTAACTATAAATAGGACAATTACAAGAAAACTTACAGGAACGATAGGTTGAAGAGGACCCTGCTCAAACGAGCTTACAGTCTATAGGAGGTGGGGTATAAAACACATTTGGACAGAAAATAGCAATCAAATAAGGTGGGAATTAAGCAGAGCTGGAGGAGAGAGTAGAGTGCTGCACTTTAGGAGAGAGCAGGAGATCTGGATCTACATTTTTGGCACCCCTGCCTTATAGCATAGAATCCATAGAGTTGTATAAGAAGATATAACAACAAAATAAAACAGTTTAACATTTTTTAACCCCTCAATACACATAATCTAAGGTATTATATAATATTTTTGTTGGTGCTGTTATTCGTATGCTTTAAACATTTCGACAACTTGCTTTAATCTTCAACATGGTTGCAAACCAGATGCATAAACCCTAAACGTCAAGGCTTTTGACATAAATCATCGTCTGAGGCATTGTGCAGTTTGAGTGCTCGGCCAACAGAATGAGAAGTGCAAGTAGACAACTGTACCAGGATTTCCAACTCTTCTCATTGCAGTGATAGTGCCTCATCACTAATTAATACAAGTACACTTTGTGTTCATTCACAGTGTTAGGAGAGACAAAAACATTTACATCGATACTAGTTTTGGGAGGGATGAGACAACGTTTGTATAAAGTGGCAACGGATAAATACTTTAAAATAGCAGTCTTTGGAATACTTTAAAATAGCAGTCAAATTCCATCCATTCCTCCATTTTGTCGAGTGTAGAATTTACCTGGGTACTGTTAAACACAGCTGTCAGCTAAAACTAAACATATTTCAATATGGCTGCCAGCCAAAACTACTAAACATGCTAAGAACTAAACATAATACAAAAAAAAAAAAAAAAACACCTGTCTAGTGTCAAAACAACAGTACCCTCTTTCTTTATACTTTGAAAGGATTATACCAGTTGTGATTTCTTAATACTGGAGCTTTCTTCTTAACAAGGGAGTCGAATAAAAGGAAAAATTAATAGAATTAAATCTGCATTAGAAATAAAAATGAAAGGGACTCTCCAGGCAGCCTTTTTCACTCACCTGGTTCCAGCACTGGAAGCCTCGTGAAGCCGCGCCCCCTATTTGTCAAAATGACGAAATAGGCGGGTGCGAGCAGGGAGCAATCAGACGCTTCCATTTGGAAGCGTCATTGCTCCCTTGTGCGCATGTGCGACCTCACCGCACATGCGCACATACTTCATAGGGCGGCATTCATGCCGCCCTATGAAGTCCTGAGCACACTACCCCGCATGTGTGTGGTGTGTGCAGCTGCGAGCTGAACTGACTGACAGCTCAGCTCGCAGTCTTTGCCTGCTCCCTCTCCTCTGCTGACAGGCAGGAGAGAGAAGGTGCGCACACAGTGCCTTCTCTCTCCTGCACACGTCAGATGTATTTTAATACATCTGACGTGTACATGGCCTTTTTAGGGCCATACATGATAGGAAGTCCCTCTGGTGGCCGTCTGAGGTGGCCGATAACTACTGGAGGTATTCCTATCAATCAATGTAAACACTGTATTTTCTTTGTACATTAGATTGCCTGCAGGGAGCTATAGATCTCACCTGAACAACTACATTAAGCTGTAGTTGTTCAGGTGACTATAGTGTCCCTTTAACCCCTTAAGGACCAAACTACTGGAATAAAAGGGAATTATGACATGTCACACATGTCATGTGTCCTTAAGGGGTTAAACTTAAATAACGAAAATAAGCTTTGCAGCTGCATTCATTATAGACTTAATGGGGCAAGCTGGGGATGCAGAGCGTAAGATCACAGACAAGCATGTTGCAGTAATCAATGCGAGATATGATAGGGGCATTGACCAGCACCAGCATCCGGCATTAGGTATGATTTTAGATGGAAGAAGCAGGACTTGGCAAGTGACTGGACATGAGGGGTGAATGAGAGGTTGGAGTCAAAGAGAACACCTAGGCAGCAAACCTACAAGGTAGAGCTGATGATAGTGCCATTGGCTTGGAGACAGACAGACATGGGAGTTGCAAAACTTGAGGG